GCTACAACCGTATGTCCCACCACGCCCCCTGAGGTCAGCGGACCAATTGCTCCTCACAGTTCCAGGATCTCATCTTAAGCGCAGAGGTGACAGGGCCTTCTCTGTAGCAGGACCAAGACTTTGGAACGAGTTACCTGTGCTTATCAGACAGGCCCCCTCCCTCTCGGTTTTCAAGTCCCGTTTAAAAACTCACTACTATTCAGTAGCTTTCAACACCAGATGATCTGTGTTTTGATCCTGTATGCTCCACACTGGTTTGTCATCATTATCTGCATCGTTTTTATGTCTATATTCTGATTTACTTCATTTTGTATTTTGCTTTGTGTGTTACCTGTTGTTCTGCCTGTACAGCACTTTGGTTGACCTTGTCGCTGTTTTAAGTGCTCTATAAATAAAATGGTATGGTATCATGTCTATATTAAATTTGTCGGTCAAAGACGTGCAAACAACGTCCTATTTGGATGTCTAACCTCATTAGATTATATTTGGATGACCTCACTTGTGCATCAATATAGAGTGCAATGTTTAAACGTCAGATTTGGTCATATAGACATCCAAGACAGATGCACAGGTGTGCCTTATGTTTCAAATGTTTATTTCTTTTAATGTTGATGATTATAACTGACAACTAATGAAAACCCCAAATTCAGTATCTCAGAAAATTAGAATATTACTTAAGACCAATAAAAAAAGGATTTTTAGAAATGTTGACCAAGTGAAAAGTATGACCATAAAAAGTATGAACATGAAAAGTATGAGCATGAAAAGTATGAGCATGTTCAGCATCAATACTTAGTTGTTGCTCCTTGTATCTGGATTACTGCAGCAATGCATCGTGGCATGGAGTGGATCAGTCTGTGTCTCTGCTCAGGTGTTCTGAGAGTCCAGGTTGTTCTGATCGTGGCCTTCAGCTCTTCTGAATTGTTGGCTCTGGTGTATCACATCTTCCTCTTCACAATAACTCATAGATTTTCTATGGGGTTAAGGTCAGAAGAGTTTGCTGGCTAATTAAGAACAGGGATACCATGGTCCTTAAACCAGGTACTGGTAGCTTTGGCACTGTGTGCAGGTGCCAAGTCCTGTTGGAAAATTAAATCTACATCTCCATAAAGTTGGTCAGCAGCAGGAAGCATGAAGTCTCTAAAACTTCCTGGTAGACGACTGCGTTGACCTTGGACCTTAGAAAACACAGTGGACCAACACCAGCAGATGACATGGCCCCAAACCATCAGTGACTGTGGAAACTTGA